GAGCGGAGGGAGCCCTCTTTGCCGAGCAGGGCTTTGAGGTTCGAATAGCAAGGAGGATTAGGATTTGAAGCAAGGTTAGTTTTGAGGAGAACCCATTTGCGCTAAGCGGTTAGTTTAGACATTTCAAGTGTCTGTGTCGCCGTTTAGTTAAGCCTTATGCATGCATTGGTGGGATGTAACGATTATCGAACTGTTTAAAAACAAATCCTAAAGGAGAAAAATGACACTGCCTTTGCATTAGCATGTCTACAGCAGGTGTAATTTAACATCATCAAACTCAGTTCAAACAGATGGGGAATTTGGCTGCCTTTACCATGTGGGCTGTTTAGTTATTTTAATTGTCTTCTGTTGAAGTCCTAAATAGTAATTTCTTATCTGAATAGAGCTATAGGGAATGGGGTGAGGGTAAACAGGAAAAAGACATAATTACGTTGGTTTAAATTCATACCACAGGTCACACCAAAAGATGTCCTTGTGTAAACAAGGCTCGTGTTTGTCCATACAGCTGGGTTCAGCTGTGTCTATTGCTGACATCCATTGTCAGCAACAGATCATTTTTGTAGTATAGCCAAGGCTTTAAAACAAAGACGGTAATCAGTCTTGTTGCATAGCTCAGTGACAGAGGTGGCATTATACTGACAGACAAAGCAAAGCGGTTTTTTTAGCCCCATGTAGCAAGAAGAGGCAAGAATATTGGTCGATACAAGTATTTTTCTGTATTTTTATTGCCAGCTGCTAAAGATTTACAGTGAACCCATACCATACTTGAAATACCAGTCTTGAAATACTGCTAAAAAAAAAAAAAACTAAAAAAAATCTGAACACCTTGACAAAATCTTTCTTCTTTAAGGTACTGCTGGCTTTTGTGAATGTACTTATAAGTGCTATTCTGGCACAAATAATGGGTTTAAAAATGAGTTTTCATATTTGGGAGACTCCTAGTTCTTTGCCACATATGCAGGTCTTTGGTGGGGAGTAGCAGAAGGCGTACTGCCCGAGGGAGGGAGGGCTCTCCTGCAGCATTATTTGTGGTGGTATTCACAGAATAAAGCTGTATTTTATCACTGCTGGGGGAAAATTAAAAGCACGATGCAGCTTCTTGGTGTTTGCAGTGAGTAGATTGAGAGCTTTTTGTAGCACGTGGGCTGTAGTTGTATACCAGTTCTTCAAAACTGCACTTCAGTATGCCATACTCGCATGGAGACGCAAAAAACCACCAAACCCCAAACTTAAAACACTGTAGGCCAGGGCTACGTAACTGAGGTTGCAACAGGAACTGGAGAAAAAAAAATGTCTTTCATTGGATGTTGTGGTTTGATGTGCAAAGTTGTGTTTGGGCTTAGCCTGTTAGTGCTCCTCTAGTATTACAGTGGGAGACACTGCAATACAGTGATTGGCCATGAAGTGCTTAAAAAGAAAGCCACTTGTTTCATCTTCTTTCTTTGTATTTGTGGTGATTAAAAATCCCAACTGAGACGTACTTCAAAAAGTACAAGATCTTGCTAAGTGTTTGAGCTACGCTGCTGTCCAAGTGTTGCGTGTCTTGCTTCTCTGGCAAAGACATGCACTGACTCTACAGCCTGTGCTGCAGCTGCCGTAACTGAGAGGGTGTCGCACACCATCTTCCAGGGAGGTCGTTACCCCAGTTGTTTCCCCCGTGTTACTAGTACTGGAAATGCAGCAGGGGTTTCATGTGAAAACAAGTGTTGAGGATGCATGCAGTTCAGGACATGGGGAGAAGATAATCTAGAGGGGGTTGCTCTGGGCAATGACGGCTTCTGCCTTGGGGGGTCATGAACTGTGCTGCATGCGGGTTTTGTTTTTATATATATATGTACATAAAGCATATAAAACAGTTATACTTCTAAGTTTTCCAGAAGAAAACTCCAAATAAGCCATGATGAACATTTGATGTGGGTTCCACATATATCTAGAAAGCCTTTCCCTCTAGCATTGCTACCACACTGACTCTTCCATACTTTTATTGGGAGCACAGGTCTTTTGAACCCAGCCCACATAACTTGTTGGGGTATTTATTTACTGTGGAATGTCTTGGGCTGTGGTGGGGTTTTTTTTTTTTGGTTATTATTCTAGCGGAAACCCTACTTTCTGCAGATAATGTCCTTTCTTTCAGATACTTTTTATTCTTTGACTGTAAGGGATATTCTAGTCAGCGTTTTCTTACCCTTTAACAGTGTATCTCTGCAGTGATTCCCTAGTGAGTCAAGGAAACCCAGTGCTTTATTAAAACCCATATCATCTTTTAGAAAATTGTTTTGCTCTTAATAAACAATAGCAAAGACACACACGTACAGTCTTAGTGCATTGAAGTCAGCTGAAGACAATTGCAAGATTGAAGTATCCCTTTATTGTTCGATTTGGGAACAATATAATTTCAGAATTTCAATACTCAATTTCAAAGCCACTGATGAAAGTTTCTAGTGAACCGAAGAAAGTATTGTTAAGTTGTTCTCCTTTGTCACTCTTCTTTGTTTTTCATCTTGTTCTTCTATTCTTTAGGAATTTGTTACAGAATAGTATTGGGCAATGAAAAGAGAAAAGTTTTTATCCCTGCCCATGAAAGTAACTGTGTGTGTTTATATGAGTGTTCCTAGTAATAATTCAGAAGTTAATTCTCAGAGTGCTGTTTTGCTAACAAAAAAACCCCCAAAATTCAATAAAATTATAGTTGATTCCAGAACTAACACCTTTTAAAATGCAATTTTAACTTTTATAGTTATCGCTGCGGTAGAGACATCACTGAATACACGTCAATTGCATGAAATTCTTTGTATAACAAAGTGATTCCTTAAAAAAACCCAAGCAAACAAAAATAACCAGAATGTACAACTTGTAAAAGCAAAATTACTTTTAACTAGATTTTTTCACAGGGGTTGATAATTTTAAGAAAGGTTTGCATCCTTTCTTGAGATGAGAGTAAAATTTGGATTTGTTTGGTTACTTTATCACCCTGAGAGTTACCAGTTCTGGTGCTTGAGATATTTTTAGCTTGACGTGCCTTGCTAAGCACTGCTGCATTGCTTATTACTGTTCATTTCACATTCCAAACAAGTAGTTGAAGGAACAGGGTATGTAAGCATTACACCTGAAATTACACATTCTCCTTTTTAATTTAAGGGGTGTCAGTGCTTTTTCATCTCCTGTGTTTTCAGTATGATGAGAACTGTATGGTACTGGGCAGGTTCTGGCACCATAAATAGACCAAGTACCTGGCTTTCAGAAATGGCTGCTTAGAATAGCCTATGAATAATTTTTGTCTAATTTTACAAGGGGAAGAAAAATAGTAGCTGTGGTAACAAAAGGACTGGACTAATTGAGTAACAAAAATTCGAGCGTTTTAATGGACGTGGGAGGACTGGATTATTAATGGTCGCATTAGAGAAAAACACTGCACCGTCTGTTCCTCTCGAAGCTTATGGCTGTATGTTTATAGTAGAGATCACTTATGCTGAGGCCTGCGTAGCGTGCACTGGAGGGGAAAAAAAAAGGAAGAAAAAACTCCTTGGCCTTCCCTTCAGTGGCAAGCTACTTTACTTATGCCAGCAAAATACGATGTCTTTAGGTTCAGCGTACTTTACGGCAAGGGCTGTATCTCTGCGCAGAAGGGTGGGTGGTGTCTCCTTCATCAGGGTTCAGAAGCTCTCTCAGACTGTCACTGGGTGTTGACGATGAATTGTTGGGTTTTTTTCCTCTTTTTGTCCCTTAGACCTGGTGTTGGTAGTTTCAGAATCCTAGCATGTGAGGCCAGTAAGAGTGCCAATGACAAAATGAAATGATAGCTTCTCTTGCAGCCAGCAGCTGACAGAACATGCAACTGTTTGAGCGCTATGTGTGCAGTCCCAGAATTCTGTAACTTAACCATGGTGAAGTTGTTTGCTTCTCCTCCCTTGATCTGAGCCATGCCTGCTCCAACACCAACTCCCCTCCTTCTAGCATTCGACCCCTCCTCCTTGCCCGCTGTCCTCACTGCCTTGAAAAGTACTGTGCTTTGTCATGTCACTGCCACTCTACTTTAAGAAAGGCTTTTTTTAATAGTATTTGACAGAAAATACAAGAATTCTACATTGCAGTGTTGGGGGTTTTTTGGTTTCGTTTGTTTTTTTGTTTTGGTTTTGTGTTTTTTTGTTTTTTGTTTGTTTTTTAATAAAGATTAGTAAATAGGTAAATCAGCAGGGTGTAGTTCAACCCAGCTGTGTCCTAGAGATTTAGTAAGGGCAGAGTTGCTGTTACTTGGAATTTGTTGCCTATAGGTCTCTATGGAATGATGCTAGGTAGTGCTTGGTGGCATGACTTCTTTAGCCTCTATAGGCTGTGTTTTGTTTACCTTCCCCTTTCTAGAAAACGGTTAAATCCCCAAATCTCAGTTTTGGTTTTGTCACATTTTTGTCACTCTTGGACAGTTTTCTAATTCACTGAGAAGAGATGAGTGCTTGGTGCTTTGCTGCCGCTGCTGTGGTTTTTTTTCTCCAGTAAGATATAAATGGGATAAAAGGTAGAAGAAAGGGTTATTACCTGCTTTTGACCCTTGAGACCAAGATAGGGTGATGACTGTTACCTCAATTGGGTATACTGACCAGTTGCACAGCAATACAGAAGACTTCTGCACTACGTTTTTGCTGCTGTTACTTGGTAACTAAAGGGCTAAACTAAAGTTTATGTCAAATCTCTTATCTTTTTTTGTGGTTGTAGAGTATTGCATAACTTCATTGATGAAAATGAATCCATTTCACTTATTAGTTTGACAGACCTTTACGCTTTTCCCCCTGCTAGCCATCTGTGGACCTGGTTTCTAGCACTGAGGCAAAGCACAAAATCATGGCGTAACTTGCAGCAGTGATGTAAACTGTGTTAATCAGTTATATATGCCAACGCTGACTTCTGCTGTGCTTAAAAACAGTTTATCTTGTGCTAGTAGGGGTGAAGGAAATGTTCTTGTTTTATTACAGTATTAACATATTGGTGTACCTCTTGACTTCCAGGTTGCATCACAACGCATAAGCTCAGTGGATCTTTCATGCTGCAGCCTGGAGCACCTGCCTGCCAACCTGTTTTATAGCCAAGACCTCACTCATCTCAATTTAAAGCAGAACTTCCTGAGGCTAAACCCTAGCCCATCCACAAATAGAGCGCTTAGTGAATTACAAAGGTAAGGCGATATGGTTCTACTGGTCTTCCTCTGCCCTTGGTGCCAAATGACCACTGGTCTGCAGGAACTTTCCTAAAAAATTACTGCTGCCTCTTGTGGAGGACCTGGCTGTAATGCTTCAGAAATTGGTTAACACTGTGTGTTAGAAACAGACTAGCTGTCATAAGAAACTTAATGTTTTTCTTGTAAATAGAAGGCTATTTTCAGTCCAAAATGCAGTTTTTGGAATGCGTTGTTTTTTATCTACCTACTGAGGCCAGGCTGTAGTTCTTCAATCTTTCGCTCAACGCAAGTGAATGTGAGTTGGTGAGCAGCCCACCAGAGGGATACATTCTAGGTAGGGACAGTACTGCGTGTGACTTGGCTTAGAAGTTTTTTGTTACCCCCAAGCAAAGAAAGTCCTGATTTACTAAATTTAGCCTGATTCCTGTCTTCTTTCTACGCTGCTCAACCCTAATTCTTCTCTCCCAGTAACTGTGACCTTCCAGTTGTTCTTTCCACTGCAGCTCGTCTGAGAATGTAACAAATGGGTAGACAGCAGCACGATCGGTGATCTCGAATGATATAATGTATGTCTCCCAGAACTGTGGAATCAGCAGGCTTTCTGTATTCAGAAAGATGAATGTTTCCATACTGAATATAAAACTGTGATTTTAATTTCAGTGGTTACTGAATTGCAGAGTACCTCGAGATTATATTTGTGGATGGTCCTGTTCAAACGAAATGTTTTAAACCACGCTTCTAAATCCCTTCCTCTTTGAAAAACAAGTGAAAAATACAAGATGGATTATGTGGGCTGTTGTATTTTTATATTATTCCAATTTCATTCTGGAAAAACAAAAAATTGGCATAATGGGAGATGAATGAACCCAGCAGGTCTGCTTCACAAACAAGGCAGGCAGTGATTCCAAGAGCTTATGAACACAGTCTTGAGAGGCATACCGGATTAAATGTTCTGTGAATGTCAGTGCAGGTCTCCAGACAGCAAGTGGAATTTTAGCATGAGTTAGGTGATGAACATGGACCGATAATGAATGTCTTTATTTTAATGAATTTTTACAGTTTTTCCTTTTTAAGTACCAGAAAGTGTACAGGAGATACTTGATAATGTTTTGTCCATCTACATATAGCTAATTCTGTCAGGGATTAGAAGGCATTTAGAAATACCGTGATGGGCAATGTTCATTGTCTGTTTAATGTTCTCCTGGTGTTGCAGTTGTAGGAACAGCTGAAGAGCCTTGCTGAAAGTTAATAAACTGTTAATTTTTTTTCTCACTAATGTGGGCCCAAACATGCAGGGGAGTGAGAAGAGTTCAGGTGAACAAATAAAGCTCTCCTGTTTTCTGAGATTCAGCATCAGGGAAGATCTAGAGAAGCGGCATATACCCAAAGTGGTGCGAAGCTGATTAAGCGTCTCGTTCTTCTGAGAGCTGGTCCTATTCCGTCAGTGAATGATAGTCTGCTCCGCCTCCGTTGCTTTGATTTTGCCAAGATGATGTGTCAAGTTCTAGAGGAAAAAAAAAAAAATAAATGCTTAGGAAGGTTACAGGGCGGTGTTCTGGTGGATCGGAGCCAGTGCCTCATGAACCTCCTGCCCCTTGGCACCGACCTTCCCTCTGCCGCCGCTGATGTCCTCCCAGTCCTCCGGCACAGGTGGCATCACCCAGGCGGTGAGGAGCTGGAAGCTGCTGCTGCTCCCCAGGCCGTGCCCGGCGGCGAGGGCTGCCTGAGGTGGTCCTGGCTGCTGAGGGTTTGCTTCTGCCTCCCAGCAGCAGCAAAAGCACGAGCCTGGCCTCAGAGTGCTCTCCCAAGCCGTGCTCCTTTTACAGCCCTAAGCAGCACAGTCCCAGCTTCTCCTCTTTAGGGTGGGAAAACTTGAGTTTTGCTTGTGCTGCCAAAAAGCTTTGAGCCAGCTCGGCTGCTACTGTAAGTCTGCTTTTCTGTAGGGAGTAAATACACAAATATCTAGCAAGAAGGGAGCACTGTATCTTTTCGAGACGAGTAGTGCATCCCCGTATGAAAGCATGTGCGAAGTTAAGGGAAGCTCGCTCATTCCTGGGAGCACAAGTTGTTATTTGTCTGACTTTTTTCTTCTTTAATCCAATTTCATAAAACCATTTTCAGATCTTTTGTGGGTTACATGAGGTAAAACTCGACTGGATAAACCAAAAGCCTTTTTTTTTTTTTTTTTTTTTTTTTTTTTTGTCCGTGTTCTTTCAAACCACTGCAAAGCAAGTACAAAATCTCTGCTGTTCTGATTTGGTGCTGTTGGCTTTTATACCAAATTCTCAATTGCTAAATTGCAGCCGCACACAGGGTGTAGCACTGGTGAATCAAGCCCAGGAGTATTTAAGGCTCAAAAATAACCATGTGCTTGGATGTTGTGAACAAAATGCGTTGGCATTTATATACCTACCCTTCCTGGTACAATTTTTGATTAAAATCTGGTTAGCAAGGCAGTCTAGGAAAATTTGTCTTGCTATAAGCAGCTCTTGGTGCTAGCTGTTCCACTTAATAAATCACTTAAGGTGGTAATTTAACAAATGCTCATGAATGCTGTCTTTCAAAACAAGAGGTATGTCAAAGACAGAAGAAAATACCAGCTTTTCAGCTACCTACTGAGTAGACTTACAAGCAGCTGGGTCATAGCTGACATATGCACTGACTTGGCAGGTACAGTCAGGAATGGATTGGAAAAACCCAGAAATTCCTACTTTTGCTTATGCAGTTACTTCTTTCAGTTGTTAAAATAATGCCATTTTTTGCATTTCTGAATAAAATATTTAGTCTTGCTCTGTACAAGGCATAAGTGAAAAATCACCACCTCAGGAACTAAATTGCTGGTTGGATATGAGTTTATAGAGGTGTAAATGCGTTTTTTTTTTCTTGGTAGTTACGCTTTCACTTGCTTTACTGTCCACTCAAACTTTAATTTCTGTTGCCGTAGATACTCTGCAGCTGTGGACTTCTATAACTGAACTGTCTGAATGTTGAAAGGTATATACAGCTACCCATATTTCTTTCCTGCTTACCAGGGAATACATATTTCATACTATGTATAAAAGTAGGCAGTCCAAAAACTCATCTGCATTGGAAAAAAACCTCAGCAAATGTTGGTACATGTTCTCCCTCGCAGTAGCTTCCTTAAAATGATAGGAAAGGGTGTGTTTCTTTTTGGGGGGAGAGGAGATTCCCCAGTTGAAAGATTGCCCAGCTTGCCGCAGCATTAGAAGCGGCTGATGTCTTGTGATAATATCCCCATCGAGTCAGAATTTGCCTTAAAGCTCCTTGGTGTTTTAGCTCCTATATGCTGCAAACGGAGCAACTGAAGGCATTCTGTTGTCTGAAGTTGTCAGAAATTTTATTGCTTACACTCTTTTTTTTTTTTGTTGGTGGATTTTTTTTTTTTCTAAACTATAAAGTTGAGGTTTATATGTACATGGTGTTCCCAAACCTCACTTTCCCCTTCTCTACAATGCAACTTCACAGCTCTTGTTCTGAAATGCAAACAAGTTCAGGCTTCGTAGTTTTGCAGAGTACTATTGCTCTAGGTTTGAAGCAAATGAATAAACCGTAGTCTTTATTCACTGTTGCTCTGCTTCACTGAGCTAAGCATGCTTTATATTTATACATAATAGTTTCAGTCAGTGCTGTTGGAAAAAAGACCTGTCAGCATCAAGAATACTGTTTGCATGTTGAAAAGTAAGTTGTCAGTATGTGGATTTCTAATATAAGACTATTTAAAAAAAAAAAAAAAGGGAGAAGAAGGGAGGATGTAATAAGCCACAAAGTTTGTTTTAACGATAAACAAAATGATGCTTGCTGATTTTTATCTGAAGAACAAGTTGTTATTCTGATTGTGGTTGTTAATTGTTAACAGTGATTATATGGATTTTTATCTTAAGATCCGTCTGTATCTTTTCTCTCCCAGAGCTCTTTAGAAATCAGCTATCTTCTCAGGCATCTCAGCTGAAACTCTCCTGGGCTAGTGGCAGTAACTTGAAGTAGCATCTCGAGGGTATGAGAAGGCTAGGGGAATCCAAGATACTGATGCAAGTGTTTCTGAAATACCTTGCTACTTCCAACTGTAGGATAGCTGTTTTTATCTGAAAACCCAGAATTGGGGCGGGGGGGAGGTGTGTGTGTGTCCTCAAGCTAACCCCTCCTTACCAATCTATTGTGCAGTAAGTAGGCAATTTGAAATGCAATCCTTGCTCAGAGAACACTTAGGTTCCCAGACAGCAAGGGGGGGGAACAGTATTAGCGACCCAACTGGTGTGACCCCCAGCAGACAAGCTTGCTGGAAGTCAGGGTGAGATGTAGTTTGATCCTAGTTTGTCCCTAGAGATTGAGGAGTGGGGAAGGAAGTCTCCAGCCTGCTGCTTGGCTGGTCTCAAAGTGCATTGAGGTGCTCCTTGTGATTGCTTTCTGTGTATGAAGCTGAGGTTAGGGAAGAAAGTCGCATGGATTAATGATGTGGCGAATCGACATCTTCCCCCTTGTCAGGCCTCCCAGGGCACTGCCAGTAGATGTGCTGGAAAAGATTTGAGCTTTCTCCTTTTTTTTTTTTTTTTTTTTTTTTTTTTTTTTTTTTTCTAAGGATGCTTTTCTGGAAAGGCATTTGCTTTTAAGCGCACACATTTATTGAAGTTATTTAAAGGAATCCAGCTAACATGGGGAGTGTACCTACCGCCAGGAATGGAGTGCCACTGTGTGCTCCATGGTGTGGGAAGATGCTGGGAGCTTTCTCTCACACTCTGACGGTCTCAGAGCCAGGGAACCTTGCTTTTATACTCGCTTCTCCTCTTTCATTTGAAGCCAAAGACTGAAACATAGCCATCTAAAGCAGTAGGACAAGAAGGAGAAATTGGTGCGATATTGACAGCCAGAGGTCTACTAGTAACAAACTCCATCCAGTGTTTACTATATTCTGGTGCTACATTTATTTTCTCAGCTCTGTAGCCTTGCAATATTTTTTTGCTATTTGTAATACTAAAGAT